GGGAGGGGAGGGGCGGGGAAGGCTGAGGGGTTTGGCCAAGCAAGAGGGCACCCATTCCTCGCTGAACCCAGAAAAGCCTTCTGGGGCTGGAGGGGCCTCAAAGGCCTGCTGAAGCCAAGCTACACCCTCCCCTGCCAAGGGCTGCTCCAAGACCAGGCCTGGCACGTATCTCTAGGACAGCCGGCAGTGACAGAGGCCTTCCTCACATGGCCTCGATCCCACACCTGCCCTGGGGAGCTCCTGGCCTCTGCAGGAAGCACAGAGACAGCCCTCCTGAAGCCTGGAGCCCCTTCCTCCTAGGACTGCCCCCGCCCCCAGGGGAATCCTGATTGCTTCTCCTGCTCCAGCCCACCTACTGGGCAGACCCAGGCAGGGCCTTGCTCCCAGGGCAGCCAAGAAGGTGGGGTTTGGCCACGACTCCCATCCATTCTGTTCCTTGGCCCACTGAGTCCCCGCACAAACAGCACTTTGCCAGAAGCCCCCATCCCTGGACAGAGGAGGGGCCGAGCTCTCTGACAGGGCCAGACACCTTTGGGAGGTCCAGTCCCACATGTCAGCCTTTTAATAATAAAAGATCATGGCCTTGAAGTAAGGCCCTGTGGGTGGGTGGGAAGGTGTGAAGCTCTTTTGCAGACAGACCTGGCCATGGGTGTGGTTGAGGGGGTCTTGGAAGGGGAGAAAGCTGGTGGGGTGTGCAGCGTGAGAGGGTGCAGGTTGAGGGACTGTGTCTGTGGGGAGCTTTGTCTGATTGGGTCTCCCTGGGGGCCCAGGGCTTTAGAGTAGACCCCAGAGTGTGGCAACGAGTATGGGGGCCAGGGCCAGGGTCCCTGGGGCGGTGAAGCCAGCGGCATTACAGAGGTCGTACTGGCAGCAGGAGGTTGTGGAGGCATGCTTGGAGTAGCCGTCGTACACGGTCTCGAAGCAACTGGGCACGCACGACTTGCTCACTTTCACTCGGGTCGGGGTGTCATCTGCAGAGGGTTGGGGAGGTGAGCCAGCTCCCCTGAGAGGGGCAGACAACCCCAGGTGGCCCAAGCCCAGTATTCAGGGCCATTAGGGCAGTGCCACCTCCCAGCTCAGTGCTCCCAGAAAGGATCCCAGGACAGGTGGGGCCTCCCTCCTGTCTCCCCCACACCCTCAGGGGTAGGGTAGAGCCTTCCCCCTCCTGCTCCCCGGCAGGGCTGACTGGGTCCTCCCACGGACTCACAAGTACGCGTGGTCATGCAGTAGGTAACCATGGCAGGGCAGCGCATGGGGTTGAAGCAGTTGTCTCCATTGTAGGCACACACATGGCACTCCAGGGCCTGCACTGTGGGCCGGCGGCCAGGGGTCACAGAACAGGGAGAGGCCCCTTCCTTAGCTCATCAGACCCCCAGCCCACCACTTTCCCCACGACAAAACAGCTGGTGGTGAGGTGGGCATTGGAAATTCTGGCCTCCCTCCCCACTTTCAGCCTGCCTGGCCCCAAATGTGGCTCTATCCGTCTGTCCTCTGTCCAGCTTACCCAGTGGTAGGCCCACCAGGGTCCCCAGGAACAGGGTGAGCAGGGGTGCCATGGCTGGAGGCAAGAGGGCAGCGTGGGAGTGGGGTGGCTCTTGGCAGCTGGTCCTGGATCCAGCTGAGGTCCAGGCTGGGGCAGGGCACAGAGCAGGTGGGACTGCCCCCTGCCCTCCTGGAGCTCCCGGTCTACTGGGGGAGCTGCAGCCCTGCACAGAGGATGACAAAGACAGGTGGTCGGTGCTGGACCCAAGGGACCCATGGGGGGGGGATGGGCAGGGGAGTGCGTGGGCAGAAGCCACCCAGTTCAGTGGGTGTCAGGGAGGGTTTCCTGGATGAGGGGACACTTGAGATGGGGCAAGAGTGGAGCAGGGGTTAGGACAGTCCATCCGGAGACCAGCACCTGTGAAAGTCTAAAACGACCTGCACGATTGCGGGAGGGTGAGGGAGGGGGCAGCGCTAGAGAAGGGGAGGAAGTGGGGAGGTGGGGCGAGGCCAGAGGGGCCCTGCATGCCAGGCTAGCACCAGGACTTCACCCAGGGATGGGAGCCTGGCACACGGCCCCCTCCCCACGCTGGGCCCGGGACTCCCCCTCTCCTTGCTCCTGTTGTGTCCCTGCGTTGGACCTCCTCTGCCAGGAAGGCCTCCAGGACCTTTGGTGGGGCTCTCGGGTCTGAGCCTCCGCCACCGCCACCGCCACCGCCACCGCGGGAGCTGCCGCAGGATGAGCTGTCAGCTCGCGGGGACACGCACTCCGAACGCGTCCCGGCGGCGCGGAGGCCACAGGAGGAGGAACGCCCAGATCTGGGTCTGGCGTTTCGGATGGAGATGGCCACTTTCTGGGAAGGGGGTTGCGGGGAGGGGGCAGACAGGACCACGACTCCCTTCCCTCCGCGGGACTCTCGGGCCCCCGTGCCGCTTTCCGAGAAC